GTGTCAGTGTCCAGTAGTAGCATTGTATCAGTGTCAAGTAGTAGCATTGTGTCAGTGTCCAGTAGTAGCATTGTGTCAGTGTCCAGTAGTAGCATTGTATCAGTGTCAAGTAGTAGCACTGTGTCAGTGTCCAGTAGTAGCACTGTCCAGTAGTAGCACTGTTTTAGTGTCAAGTAGTAGCATTGTGTCAGTGTCAAGTAGTAGCATTGTTTCAATGTCAAGTAGTAGCATTGTGTCAGTGTCAAGTAGTATCATTGTGTCAGTGACCAGTAGTAGCATTGTTTCAGTGTCAAGTAGTAGCATTGTGTCAGTGTCAAGTAGTAGCATTGTGTCAGTGTCAAGTAGTAGCACTGTGTCAGTGTCAAGTAGTAGCATTGTGTCAGTGTCCAGTAGTAGCATTGTTTCAGTGTCAAGTAGTAGCATTGTTTCAGTGTCAAGTAGTAGCACTGTGTCAGTGTCAAGTAGTAGCACTGTGTCAGTGTCCAGTAGTAGCATTGTTTCAGTGTCAAGTAGTAGCATTGTTTCAGTGTCCAGTAGTAGCATTGTTTCAATGTCAAGTAGTATCACTGTGTCAGTGTCCAGTAGTAGCATTGTATCAGTGTCCAGTAGTAGCATTGTTTCAGTGTCAAGTAGTAGCATTGTGTCAGTGTCAAGTAATAGCATTGTGTCAGTGTCCAGTAGTAGCCTTGTTTCAGTGTCAAGTAGTAGCATTGTGTCAGTGTCCAGTAGTAGCCTTGTTTCAGTGTCAAGTAATAGCATTGTTTCAATGTCAAGTAGTAGCATTGTTTCAGTGTCCAGTAGTAGCCTTGTTTCAGTGACCAGTAGTAGCATTGTTTCAGTGTCAAGTAGTAGCAATGTGTCAGTGTCCAGTAGTAGCACTGTGTCAGTGTCCAGTAGTAGCATTGTTTCAGTGTCAAGTAGTAGCATTGTTTCAGTGTCAAGTAGTAGCACTGTGTCAGTGTCAAGTAGTAGCACTGTGTCAGTGTCAAGTAATAGCATTGTTTCAGTGTCCAGTAGTAGCCTTGTTTCAGTGTCAAGTAGTAGCACTGTGTCAGTGTCAAGTAGTAGCATTGTGTCAGTGTCAAGTAGTAGCATTGTATCAGTGTCAAGTAGTAGCACTGTGTCAGTGTCAAGTAGTAGCATTGTGTCAGTGTCCAGTAGTAGCATTGTATCAGTGTCAAGTAGTAGCATTGTGTCAGTGTCAAGTAGTAGCACTGTGTCAGTGTCCAGTAGTAGCATTGTGTCAGTGTCAAGTAGTAACACTGTGTCAGTGTCCAGTAATAGGACTACAGAGCTGTAGGTAGGCTGGGGGGGCAGGGGGGCAGCTGCCACCTAGAATTTTTTACAGATTATTGTTTTTACATCAAAGTATTGATATAACACTCTTTTGAGTGTCATATCGCAACCGGCTCACAAAAATATTGAAAATCAACCATTTATATATGAGTGAAATCATTTATTTTGCCAAGGTAACATATGGGCCTGCTTAAAACCAACAGGAATTCTACAAGAGCTGAAGGCTTTTGAATATACCAGCTAACAAGATAGGTACCTTCTTAGAGAATCCTAAGACTGAAATTTTCATTATATCAAAGGCCCTTATTACCAAGCCTGTGAGTACACGTTTCCTTAACTCCTTAAACACGTTTCCTTAAACTAATCCCCAGCCAGTACAGTGCCGGATAGAACATACCTAAACTTGGAAACATTGGTTAAGCTGTGTGAAAACAAACTTTAGGAACGCAGGATACACATGAAACAAAATGCCATGAAGTGACAAATCCTCTTAAAGTTCAAACATAAAACACATATGTCGTCTATTTAAGAAGGAAACACGGTTTAATAGTTTTCCAACCACTAGATATAAACCACTATATAAGTAACGAACATTCAAACAATGTCATGTCTTCAGAAACACTGTCTTGGGAGCAATGCATGTTTGGGAGCAATTTAATTTGCAAACTAAAAATCTACATATCTTTATAAATGTCAACTGTTTTAAGCCAGAGAAGTAAACTCAAATCTACCTATTATCATTCAATATTTTTGGGGTATTAATTTTATATAATCCTATACTGTAATTATTTAACATGAGACTAGCAACAAACATTCTGGAAATAATAGGACTGTAGACCAATTATAACCCAATCGAAGCGACAGAAATATCTATTACTAGGATGGAATGTTCCTTGTGGTTGTTATTGATGTTATGGTAATGTTTCTATTTCCCAGTTGTAAGTCTGTCTTATCAAATAGAGAGTGACATTATTTTGTAAACTCCAAAACGTGACAAATAACTAAGCAGTAAGTTATGGTGTCGATTTTATATTTAGAAATGAAATGTTCGCTACTTTGGTGATTGTATAATTATGCATCCTCTTTGATTTTCCAGATGGGATAGGAGTCACGTGATATTTGAAAAATAGTATCAGAACTTCAGAAGCTATGTAACGGAGATTACATCCTCTTGCAAATCAACTTGCAAATCAAGTATTAAGTTACCATTAACCACACACAAGCTTTGAATATTTTTCCTTTTCCCACCTGGCATACTTCGTGTTCTAAATGTAACTTAAACTATGTCAAAAAGAGCACAATTCGCTAATTTGGCGGTGGTAACGGACATTTCACTCTTATTTCTACGCATGGAATATTTTCTGTGTATTGAGATATGTTATGCAGAGAGATATTCAAAGCCCCAAATAATGACAAGTACCATTAATGTAAAGATAAACTGTATTCATTCAAAGTGAATGGGTGAGATTATGCTTTGTTCTACACATGCACGTGTCAAGCTGAAAATTCATCACGGACATTTCCTCATGACATTAGACCAAATTCATTTATCTAAAAAGAATGCACTGGCCTAACAATTTGCAGAAAATGAAACTTTTGACCAATATCAATGTCCTAATATCCAGGTATTTGTATACCAAGGTGCGTTAAGTAAACTGCAAAGTAAGGTTTCGCTACCGGCGACAGTAACAAACATTTCAAACTGACCTATTACCTTAGCTGTAACAAATATACCGTGGGGGTTATTGGACTGTTTGTGTATGATGTATGTTGGGCAGGTTGGTACCATTATTCAACCACACTGAAAATAACATTTGCTAATTAGTTTTGGAGAAGCATGGCAGTGACAGCATTTGCACCCCATTATTGAGAATGAGTGATATACCCTCACCACAGCCCTGAAATCCACACCTCAATTAAAGACCCAAAGATTGCAAGCAGCCAATCTGACAGATGATCGGTACCAGAATGATGCACCTAATTACATATGATTACAACAACCATTAATAAATAAAATAAGGAATCCAGGACAATGATATAGACAACCGGGAACCTTATGAACTGAAGGCATATTGTGCAATACCTAATGATAATTAACGACAAAAGACTCAATTAGAAGAAGGAGTCAATCCACATGACACCAGGATATACTCAGACAGGATAGACAAAATAGAGAATAACATACAAAACAATGAATACACAATGAAACATTGATTGGTGTAAAAATATATAAATAGTATTATATAAACTAGTGACTCTATTTTTGGAACTATGAACCCAATGAACATATGCTATATAATGAGCCATTCCTTCATCTCCATGACCATGATCTGACAGTGTTCATGACCATACCAGTCGACAGTGTGGCTTGTGAAAGGTCTTTCGATCTCCTGTCTTCGAGGCACAAGGTGTGGACAATGAGCACAGAACATCTAACTGGTCTGGCTGTGCTGCACACACACAGAAGTACACATTTGATACCAAGTCCATGCACTATCTACTCTAGGAAGACAGACTAGTGAGGTGAGGTGAGGTGAGGTGAAATTCGGTTTAACTTTGTGCTTGAGAATATTTTGCTCATATGACGATGTGCATGTGTGTGTATGTGTAGGTGCGGCTGCTTGTACTAGCCCAGACTGAAGCTGGTTTTATAGTGATAGCCCACTGAGATACCATGCCGCAGTGAAACATAAATACCCCACCCAGACACATTATACTGACTCGAGCCGACCAGTCCTTGTTGTACCCATTAATGCCGAACGCCATGCAGGGACCAACAAGTACCATATTTAAACGTCTTTTGGTATGACGCTCGAACCCGCAACCTTCCGCTCTTTTGGTATGACGATCGAACCCGCAACCTTCCGGTCTCTCCGGGTGTACGCTCTAACCACTACACCACGGAGGTGGTCTAAAGACAGACTGGAGGAAATTCAAATACAGCTAAAAGTGTATAGTGAAGTCAAAATCATATTTGATATTCCCTTGTGGAACTGTAAATGTACATGTTAATTTCAGGGATGATTATAAATACAGCAATCTTTCTGACTGACTTATCTTGTTAAGGTGCAATGAGCAAACTGAGTGAGTGAGTAATATTGAACAAACCTGAAGATATCATGTATATGATGTAAATGTCACGTGCAATTTCTGGACTCTCCACTGAATTAAATAATACAAATATTTTAGATTGATTCTTAAACTGAACAACCCATTTCTGGTGTCCCCAACCGTGATACTGCTGGAATATTGCCAAAAGCAGCGTAAAACCAAACTCACTCACTCACTCACTTAAACTGAACAAAACAGTTGTTTTGCATATATACAGATACAATGGATGTCGAAACATTTTTTAAAGTTTAGTTCAGAACATTATGTACAGATGCTACAATTTTGAACAAAGAAACTTTATTAAAAAACATGAAAAAAATGGTCAAACATAGCAGGGAAAAACTTTGATACAAAATTGGAAATTGCATAAATGGAGCCATTTTACCTTCAGAATTGCATCTGAGAGCATCTAATTTTAAGAAATTCCCAGGACCCCCAGATGCTTGGATGCTTCGCGGCCTTGAACATGGATAGTGCCCCCCCTAAAAAGAAAAGTTAACTATGGCCCTGGACTGTGTCAGTGTCCAATACTAGTGTAGTGTTAGTGTTCAAAAGTATCTAGCACTAGCATTGTGTCAGTTTCAAGTACATACTCTAGTTCCATTCTTCGTGTAGAAAAAGCTGCAGGCCCCTTCCCTCGGAACATATTCAGAATCCCATTCTCCCTCAATTCCAAAACCGAAGACATCATCTGGCTTAATCTCAACTCTGGAACAAAAAAACAACAAAACCACATTAACAGTCCTCCCTGCCTACCTGTCTACATTCCACCTACACCCTTGTTTCCAGCTCCACAATCGCCCCACCTACGCAAATCTCTTCATCCAGCAAATTTCCCACCTATACTCATGTCCCACCAACACCCAGGTCAAACCAACCAACATCCATGTCCCACCACACCCATGTCCTACCTACACCCATGTCCATGTCCACCACCATGTCCACCCCATGTCCACCATGTCCATGTCCATTCCATGTCCCACCCCTCCATGTCCCCCATGTCCCACCTACACCCATGTCCCACCTGCACCATCCCACCTACATCCATGTCCCACCCCCATGTCCATGTCCCACTCTACACCCATGTCCATGCCTACATACACCATGTCCATGTCCACCCACTCCATAACACCATGTCCACCTACACACCCATGTCCACCTACATCCATGTCCCACCTACCAATTTCCATGTCCCACCTACTCCATGTCCCACCATGTCCCACTCCATGTCCATGTCCCACCCTACATGTCCACCCACCTTCACCACCTATGTCCACCCTTACACCCATGTCTACACTCTGTCCACCCCACCTACACCCATGTCCCACCTACACCCATGTCCCACCATACACCCCATGTCCCACCACCCATGTCCATGTCCTACCTCCTACATGTCCATGTCCCACCTACACCCATGTCCCACCTATGTCCACTACACCCATGTCCCACCTACACCCATGTCCCACTGTCCATGTCCCTGCCTACACCCATGTCCTGTCTACACCCATGTCCATTACACCATGTCCCTACATGTCCACACCATGTGTACACCTATGTCCCCACCTATGTCCACCTGTCCCCACTTTTACACCCATGTCCCACCTACACCCATGTTCCTCCCACCCACACCCATGTCCCCACTCTTACACCCATGTCCCACTCCACACCCATGTCCCATCCATTTTCCACCCCTATGTCCCACTCTTACATGTCACATCCATGTCCCACCTACACCCATGTCCCACCACACCCATGTCCCACCTACACCATGTCCCACCTACACCTGCCTATCCATGTCCCACTCTACACCCATGTCCCACCTACACCCATGTCCCACTCCACACCACCATGTCCCACACATAATGTACATGTCCATGTCCCACTCCTACACCCATGTCCCACTTACACCCATGTCCCACCTCCTTCCATGTCCCACCTATACACCCATGTTCCACCTACACCCATGTCCCACTCCATGTCCCACCCACCCATGTCCTATAACATCCATGTCCCACCTACACCCATGTCCCACCTACACCTATGTCCACCTACACCCAACACCCATGTCCCCCACCTACACCCATGTCTCCACTCCACACCCATGTCCCACTCTACACCCATGTCCCACCTACACCCATGTCCCACAAACACCCATGTCCTGCCTACACCCATGTCCCACCTACACCCATGTCCCACCTCTTACACCAATGTCCCACCAACACCCATGTCCCACCTACACCTATGTCCCACACATCCATGTCCTGCCTACATCCATGTCCCACTCTACACCCATGTCCTGCCTACATCCATGTCCCACCTACACCCATGTCCCACTCTACACCTATGTCCCACCAACACCCATGTCAAACCAACCAACATCCATGTCCCACCTACACCCATGTCCCACCAACACCCATGTCCTAATTTACACCCATGTCCCACTTACACCCATGTCCCAATTTATACCCATGTCCCACCTACACCCAAGTCCCCTGCACCCCCTAGTCCCCCCACCCCCCATGTCCCACCTACAACCATGTCCCACTCTACACCAATGTCCCACCAACACCCATGTCCCACCAACCACACCCATGTCCCACCTACACCCATGTCCCACCTACACCCATGTCCCCGCCTACACCCATGTCCCACCTACACCCATGTCCCACCTACATCCATGTCCCACCTACACCCATGTCCCACCTACACCCATGTCCCACCAACACCCATGTCCCACCTACACCCATGTCCCACCAACACCCATGTCCCACCTACACCCATGTCCCACCTACACCTATGTCCCACCTACACCAATGTCTCAACTACACCCATGTCCCAACTACACCCATGTCCCACCTACACCCATGTCCCACCTACACCCATGTCCCCACCCATCCATGTCCCACCTAAACCCATGTGTCCCACCTACACCCATGTCTCACCTACACCCAATGTCTCCCACCCATCCATGTCCCACCTACACCCATGTCTCCCACCTACACCCATGTCCCACCTACACCTATGTCCCACCTACACCAATGTGTCAACTACACCCATATCCCAACTACACCCATGTCCCACCTACACCCATGTCTCCCTACCAACCTTGAAACTTACCCTTCCACTGCTCCCCCTTTCTGTTCGTTCACATCCATGGGGAATCTGGCAGAGAAGAGGACATCAAACATGCATCCGAGAACCATGCCGAGCTCCTTCGTACCGTCATGAGCCAGGACTTCCACTTCAAAGTAGGTGTTGCTGCGACTCAGAGGCTGCCTTGACACGAAGACACCAACAACTTTCTCAGACAGGGAGATGTTTCTGGAATTAAACCATCCCCTCAACAGCTTGTGGATTTTCTGCAGGAACAAAGTTACTTGTGTTTGTAACAATAGCAAAATATTTTTTTCCACTTGACTTTGCAAGTATTTGTTCTTCTAAATGTTTTCATTGGGCTTCTCTGAATTTTGTCTCAGCATAGAAATGTAGAATTTCAATACATCATATTAAGTACAACCCTAGTTCAAAGACATCAACTATGCTTGCATGAAAGTGACTGATGTGTTGTAGGACGACAATGAAGCGTGCAGGCTGCTGTCGCACTTACTTCATCTTCCCATCCGGGGTGAAGTCAATTTTCTGTAGGACATGGATGTCCATGAAGTGGTCCGTGGTGATGGCCTGTAGCTGGTCCTGCCTCAAGACGGGGTTGATGTATTCCTGGTGACATATCATATGGTATAGGACTTTTGGTATGAAAGTTACATACATAGTTATGTCAACACATCATTTAAGCTTTGGAAAATGAGTCTCACCTTGCCCAGCACTCTGTAGCACCATGAATCTCACCTTGCCCAGCACTCTGGTGATGGTGGTGGTGATGTGAGCCTGTGCTTCACTGAAATCACAGAGACTCACCTTGCCCAGCTCTCTGGTGATGGTGGTGGACATGTGAGTCCGTGCTTCACTGAAATCACAGAGACTCACCTTGCCCAGCACTCTGGTGATGGTGGTGGAAATGTGAGTCCGTGCTTCACTGAAATCACAGAGACTCACCTTGCCCAGCACTCTGGTGATGGTGGTGGACATGTGAGTCTGTGCTTCACTGAAATCACAGAGACTCACCTTGCCCAGCACTCTGGTGATGGTGGTGGCGATGTGAGCCCGTGCTTCACTCAAATCACAGGCAGCTGCAACTGGGATCAGTACCTGGGCTGGGTTGCTAGGCAACAGGATGTCAAACAGCGGCTGATATAAGAAAACATCTGGTTATTTCATGATACTGTGTACCAAAATCGTGCCACATTACAAATTACAGCATATCACATTGGAATGTTCCATCTCAGACACACACCAATCCCTCTTCCATTGGAATGTTCCATCTCAGACACACACCAATCCCACTTACATTGGAATGTTCCATCTCAGACACACACCAATTCCTCTTTCATTGGAATGTCCCATCTCTGACACACACCAATTCCTCTTTCATTGGAATGTTCCATCTCAGACACACACCAATCCCACTTACATTGGAATGTTCCATCTCAGACACACACCAATCCCACTTACATTAGAATGTTCCATCTCAGACACACACCAATCCCACTTACATTGGAATGTTCCATCTCAGACACACACCAATCCCACTTACATTGGAATGTTCCATCTCAGACACACACCAATCCCACTTACATTAGAATGTTCCATCTCAGACACACACCAATCCCACTTACACTGAAATGTTCCATCTCAGACACACACCAATCCCACTTACATTGGAATGTTCCATCTCAGACACACACCAATCCCACTTCCATTGGAATGTTCCATCTCAGACACACACCAATCCCACTTACATTGGAATGTTCCATCTCTGTGAGTCCCAGACACCTATTCTTGATTCTCCAGTCTGTCATGTGACACAGCAGGGCGCCATTACGACTATTTCGGGTTTTCTTGGCAAGATACTCCGACAGACATATGTCCACTCCTGTGTGTGGGACTATCACGCTTTGACCATACTGAAGCTTTGTACGCTCTTTACTGTCTGGGAAGGAACCACAACATAACACAACCAATAACAGTATGACAGGATGTAATGTATAACACAAGTATATTACCAGACACTTTCCATAACCATATGATGTAATGTATAACACAAGCATTTTACCAGGCACTTCCTATAACCATATGATGTATTGTATAACACAAGCATGTTACCAGACACTTCCTATAACCATTTGATGTATTGTATAACACAAGCATGTTACCAGACACTTCCTATAACCATATGTTGTAATGTAGAACACAAGTATATTACCAGACACTTCTTAGAACCATATGATGTAATGCATAACACAAGCATGTTACCAGACACTTCCTATAACCATATGATGTAATGTATAACACAAGCATGTTACCAGACACTACCTATAAACATATGATGTAATGTATAACACAAGCATGTTACTAGACACTTCCTATAACCATATGACGAAATGTATAACACAAGCATGTTACCAGACACTTCCTATAGATATATGACGAAATGCATAACACAAGCATGTTACCAGACACTTCCTATAACCATATGACATAATGTATAACACAAGCATGTTACCAGACACTTCCTATAACCATATGACAAAATGTATAACACAAGCATGTTACCAGACACTTCCTATAACCATATGATGAAATGTATAACACAAGCATGTTACCAGACACTTCCCATAACCATATGATGAAATGTATAACACAAGCATGTTACCAGACACTTCCCATAACCATATGATGAAATGTATAACACAAGCATGTTACCAGACACTTCCTATAACCATATGATGTATTGTATAACACAAGCATGTTACCAGACACTTCCTATAACCATATGATGTATTGTATAACACAAGCATGTTACCAGACACTTCCCATAACCATATGATGAAATGTATAACACAAGCATGTTACCAGACACTTCCTATAACCATATGATGTATTGTATAACACAAGCATGTTACCAGACACTTCCCATAACCATATGAGGAAATGTATAACACAAGCATGTTACCAGACACTTCCTATAACCATATGATGTAATGTATAACACAAGCATGTTACCAGACACTTCCTATAACCATATGATGAAATGTATAACACAAGCATGTTACCAGACACTTCCTATAACCATATGATGTAATGTATAACACAAGCATGTTACCAGACACTTCCCATAACCATATGATGAAATGTATAACACAAGCATGTTACCAGACACTTCCTATAACCATATGATGTAATGCATAACACAAGCATGTTACCAGACACTTCCTATAACCATATGATGTAATGTATAACACAAGCATGTTACCAGACACTTCCTATAACCATATGATGTATAACACAAGCATGTTACCAGACACTTCCTATAAACATGTGATGTAATGTATAACACAAGCATGTTACCAGACACTTCCTATAACCATATGATGTAATGTATAACACAAGCATGTTACCAGACACTTCCTATAACCATATGACGTAATGTATAACACAAGCATGTTACCAGACACTTCCTATAACCATATGATGTAATGTATAACACAAGCATGTTACCAGACACTTCCTATAACCATATGATGAAATGTATAACACAAGCATGTTACCAGACACTTCCTATAACCATATGATGTATTGTATAACACAAGCATGTTACCAGACACTTCCTATAAACATGTGATGAAATGTATAACACAAGCATGTTACCAGACACTTCCTATAACCATATGATGTAATGTATAACACAAGCATGTTACCAGACACTTCCTATAACCATATGATGAAATGTATAACACAAGCATGTTACCAGACACTTCCTATAAACATGTGATGAAATGTATAACACAAGCATGTTACCAGACACTTCCTATAACCATATGATGTAATGCATAACACAAGCATGTTACCAGACACTTCCTATAACCATATGACATAATGTATAACACAAGCATGTTACCAGACACTTCCTATAACCATATGATGTATTGTATAACACAAGCATGTTACCAGACACTTCCTATAAACATGTGATGAAATGTATAACACAAGCATGTTACCAGACACTTCCTATAACCATATGATGTAATGTATAACACAAGCATGTTACCAGACACTTCCTATAACCATATGATGAAATGTATAACACAAGCATGTTACCAGACACTTCCTATAACCATATGATGTAATGTATAACACAAGCATGTTACCAGACACTTCCCATAACCATATGATGAAATGTATAACACAAGCATGTTACCAGACACTTCCTATAACCATATGATGTAATGCATAACACAAGCATGTTACCAGACACTTCCTATAACCATATGATGTAATGTATAACACAAGCATGTTACCAGACACTTCCTATAACCATATGATGTATAACACAAGCATGTTACCAGACACTTCCTATAAACATGTGATGTAATGTATAACACAAGCATGTTACCAGACACTTCCTATAACCATATGATGTAATGTATAACACAAGCATGTTACCAGACACTTCCTATAACCATATGACGTAATGTATAACACAAGCATGTTACCAGACACTTCCTATAACCATATGATGTAATGTATAACACAAGCATGTTACCAGACACTTCCTATAACCATAAGATGAAATGTATAACACAAGCATGTTACCAGACACTTCCTATAACCATATGATGTATTGTATAACACAAGCATGTTACCAGACACTTCCTATAAACATGTGATGAAATGTATAACACAAGCATGTTACCAGACACTTCCTATAACCATATGACATGTGTAACACAAGCATGTTACCAGACACTTCCTATAACCATATGATGTATTGTATAACACAAGCATGTTACCAGACACTTCCTATAAACATGTGATGAAATGTATAACACAAGCATGTTACCAGACACTTCCTATAACCATATGATGTAATGCATAACACAAGCATGTTACCAGACACTTCCTATAACCATATGACATAATGTATAACACAAGCATGTTACCAGACACTTCCTATAACCATATGATGTATTGTATAACACAAGCATGTTACCAGACACTTCCTATAAACATGTGATGAAATGTATAACACAAGCATGTTACCAGACACTTCCTATAACCATATGATGTAATGCATAACACAAGCATGTTACCAGACACTTCCTATAAACATATGACATAATGTATAACACTAGCATGTTACCAGACACTTCCTATAACGATATGATGAAATGTATAACACAAGCATGTTACCAGACACTACCTATAAACATATGATGAAATGTATAACACAAGCATGTTACCAGACACTTCCTATACCCATATGATGTAACTTTCTGGAAGGTTCTGTACTGGCTGGTCTATTCAAAGTTGACTTAAGCAGAAGATTCTTGACTGAAAAAGCATCTAATAACACACCACTGCTTACATTAGATCTAATAATAGTAACTTCCAAACCACTGCTTACATTAGATCTAATAATAGTAACTTCCACACCACTGCTTAAATTAAATCTAATAATAGTAACTTCCAAACCACTGCTTACATTAGATCTTAAGAAATAGTAATTTCCACACCGCTGCTTACATTAGATATTATAATATTAACTTCCAAACAACTGCTTACATTAACTTCTAACCACAGGGGCGTGTCATGCTTAGAAACAGCGTTAGAAAGACATATAGGTATAAAGACCCTACCTTAGTACAATATAAAAGGAAAGGGACGTAACGACGGAACCACCCCCTCCTCAATCAAAGTTTGATTTCACCACATAAACTATTTTTAAGGCCCCGTCGAGGCCTACGGATCAAAAGCGAGATGATTTCCCTATAAAATGAGTTTTAAATGGTCACAATCGGATCATTATTTCAAAAGTTATACGTCACGAGTCACCGAAAACAGCTACCTCCACAATTCCAAGCCAAAATCATGGATCACCCAAGACAGCTAAAACTCACCCGTTAAATTTGTTTATTAATTCCAGTCACGTTGACAGCACCTATGTAGGGGAAGATTCGACCGGCAGCGGGCATTCCACGGGTCCAAAAACTTATTGCAACATCTACAAATCATTTCCTCAACAATAAGCAGGCAAAACAAAACAAAACCATCGGCAATCATACTCATTTGTCGGCCATAGATCCTTGACACTTAAGTGACATGAGCAGTAAATTGGTAAGAATAATTTTAGAGGTTCTTAACAATTTACTGTTCCGTACATTATCCAAAATAGAAGGAATATTGCAAAGTTCATATTTCGCGCCCATTAGCAAACGGTCAAAATCACACTCCGCCACAGCGGTGACTAACATAACATGCGGCATGGAACTTTGGGTAGGAGAGTGGGTCAAAATCTTACAGTAGATTATATTTTCCACCAATCGGATGGCCCAATTCAGTTTCTGCGGGTTTGCTCAGATCACTTGAATGCTAAGGCCATCTATGGCCGACAAGTGAGTGGGATTGCCGATGGTTTTGAAGAAACTGCCCGTTGCAGTAAGTTTTTAGACCCGTGGAATGCTGCTGCCGATCGAATCTAGCCCTACATAGGTGCTGTCAACGTGACTGGAATTAATCAACGAATTAAACAGGTGAGTTTTTGCTGTCTTCGGCGATCCATGATTTTGGCTTGGATTTGTGGAGGTAGCTGTTTTTTGGTGAGTCATGGCATATAACTTTTGAAATAATGATCCGATTGTGACCATTTATAGCTCATTTTGTAGGGAAATCATCTCGCTTTTGATCCGTAGGCCTCGACGGGGCCTTAAAAATAGTTTATGTGGTGAAATCTAACTTTGATTGAGGAGGGGGTGGTTCCGTCGTTACATCCCTTTCCTATTATTTTGTACTAAGGTAGGGTCTTTATACCTATATGTCTTTCTAACGCTGTTTCTAAGCATGACACGCCTCTGTGCTTCTTACGTTAGATCCAGATATCTGTTACATGTCAAAACATATTCATCATCCAATATATTTCATTTTCAGCACTTAATGATCAAGGGTCTTCTCCTACAGGGTCATCATTTTGAATGAAGATCTATGCCTACATCTCATTGAGCAATGTTTTATCAGAAATTCTGTTTAGACATGTCACAGTGAAAGGAAATGAACATAATCTTATATCCATTACTGTTTGGGTCCGTGACAAGAGGGCATCCCCGCATGCCAGCTCCATGATTGATGTGTGCCACGGATGTAGCCATGGCTGATATGGTGAGGTTGGGCTTCGTGTTGACGAGAACAGCACATCCAGCATCAGTCAGTCTGCTGCAACCATCTAGGCGAACCTACACAGAGATGGGAATACGACACATCAGCTTAACACAGAAGGTATTCGTGCTGTAAGCCATCCAGGTGAACCTACACAGAGATGGGAATACGACGCATCAGCTTAACACAGAAGGTATTCAGGCTGTAAGCCATCCAGGTGAACCTACACAGAGATGGGAATACGACGCATCAGCTTAACACAGAAGGTATTCAGGCTGTAAGCCATCCAGGTGAACCTACACAGAGATGGGAATACGACACATCAGCTTAGTACAGAAGGTATTCGTGCTGTAAGCCATCCAGGTGAACCTACACAGAAATGGGACTACGACACATCAGCTTAACACACAAGCTATTCACACACAGTAGCTACACACAGAAGCTATTCACACACAGAAGCTATTCACACAGAGTAGTTACACACAGAAGTTATTCACACACAGTTGCTACACACACAAGGTATTCACACACAGTAGCTACCCACAAAGCTATTCAGACAGCTACACACAGAAGCTATTCACACAGTTGCTACACACTGAAACTATTCACACACAGTAGCTACACACAGAAGCTATTCACACACAGTAGCTACACACAGAAGCTATTCACACACAGTAGCTACACACTGAAACTATTCACACACAGTAGCTACACACAGAAGCTATTCACAACCAGTTGCTACACACAGAAGGTATTCACAGTTGCTACACACAGAAGGTATTCACACAGTAGCTACACACAGAAGCTATTCACACACAGTAGCTACACACAGAAGCTATTCACAGTTGCTACACATAGAAGCTATTCACACAGAGTAGTTACACACAGAAGGTATTCACACACAGTAGCTACACACAGAAGCTATTCATACACAGTAGCTACACATAGAGGCTATTCACATACAGTTGTTACACACAAAAGCTATTGACACATAGTAGCTACACACAGAAGCTATTCACACACAGTTGTTACACACAGAAGCTATTCACACACAGTTGTTACACACAGAAGGTATTCACAAATAGTAACTACACACAGAAGGTATTCACACATATTAGCTAAACAGAAGATATTCACACAGTAGCTACACACAGAAGGTATTCACACAGAAGTTACACACAGAAGTTATTCACACAGTAGCTACAAACAGAAGCTATTCACACATAGCAGCTACACACAAGTATTCACACAGTAGCTGCACACAGAAGATATTCACACATAGTAGCTACACACAGAAGGTATTCACACAGTAGTTACACACAGAAGGTATTCACACAGTAGTTACACACAGAAGGTATTCACACGTAGTAGCTACACACAGAAGGTATTCACACAGTAGTTACACACAGAAGGTATTCACAAATAGTAGCTACACACAGAAGGTATTCACAAATAGTAGCTACACACAGAAGGTATTCACACATAGTAGCTACACACAGAAGATATTCACACATAGTAGCTACACACAGAAGGTATTCACACAGTAGTTACACACAGAAGGTATTCACAGTAGTTACACACAGAAGGTATTCACACGTAGTAGCTACACACAGAAGGTATTCACACACAGTAGTTACACACAGGAGGTATTCACAAATAGTAGCTACACACAGAAGGTATTCACAAATAGTAGATACACACAGAAGATATTCACAGTAGCTACACACAGAAGGTATTCACACCGTAGTTACACACAGATGCTATTCACACACAGTAGTTACACACAGAAGGTATTCACACGTAGTAGCTACACACAGAAGGTATTCACACAGTTGTTACACACAGAAGATATTCACACAGTAGCTACACACAGAAGGTATTCACACATAGTAGCTACACACAGAAGGTATTTATATAGAGAGGGTACACACAGAAGGTGTTACCAAATAGTAGCTACACACAGAAGATATTCACACAGTAGTTACACACAGAAGGTATTCACACGTAGTAGCTACACACAGAAGGTTTTCACACAGTAGTTACACACAGAAGATATTCACACACAGTAGCTACACACAGAAGATATTCACACATAGTAGCTACACACAGAAGGTATTTATATAGAGAGGGTACACACAGAAGGTATTACCAAATAGTAGCTACACACAAGATATTCACACAGTAGTTACACACAGAAGGTATTCACACATAGTAGCTACACACAGAAGGTATTTATATAGAGAGGGTACACACAGAAGGTATTACCAAATAGTAGCTGCACATAGACAAGATTTACATTCTTTCATGCTATTTTGTTTGTATATATTCCTGTGATAAATACAAATTGGAAATTTTAACTATAAATTGTATATTTATATACTTATCCTATCTCACGACTTGCACCTCTCTCTCTTCAATCGACCATGAGTGGAAACGAATTAAAACTTTATAATAATAATAATAATAAATGCATATTTATAATGCGCCCCTTCCACACCCTAGGCATGCTCAAAGCGCTACAGAATAATTACACTGGAGTATTTACAGATGAAGTTATACATAACATACTGAGAAAAGGTGGGTTTTAAGTCTGGACTTAAAAATGTCAATTGTGGCAGAGCTTTTAAGGGCACATGGGAGAGAGTTCCAAAGCACAGCCGCGGAGTAAGAGAATGATCGGTGTCCGAAGGATTTCAGTTTGTAGGATGGGATGACCAGTCGGTTTTGTGTGTTTGAGCGCAAGTTGCGTGCGGGGACATACGGATGTAGGAGTTCAGACAAGTAGGAGGGAGCCAAACCATGGAGGCACTTGTATGTCAGACAGAGGATCTTAAAGTCGATTCTGGCCCTAACTGGTAGCCAATGCAGTTCTTTCAACACTGGTGTTATATGGGAACATTTAGAAGTCTTGCTGATGATGTGGGCGGAAGTATTTTGGATCTTCTGACTGACTGACTGACTGACTGAGTTTTGGTTTTACGCTGCTTTTAGCAATATTCCAGCAACATCACGGCGGGGGACACCAGAAATGGGCTTAACACATTGTACCCATGTGGGGATTCGAACCCGGGTCTTCGGCGTGACGAGCCAACACTTTAACCATTAGGCTACCCAACCGCCCCTTTGGATCTTCTGAAGCTTATCAAGGAGTTTAGAACTGAGGCCTGAAAGGATGCTGTTACAGTAATCAAGCCTAGATGTAACAAGAGCTCGAACAAGGGCTTGAGTTGCAGCAGTTGTCAGGTATTGCCGAATGTTACCAATGGATCTTAGGTGAAAGTAGCAGGTCCTGCTCAGACGGTTAACATGAGCATCCAGAGTCAAGGAAGAGTCAATGTGGACACCCAAGTCCTTAACCACATCAGAGAATCTGACGTCAGAGTCTGCGACTGTAAGGGTGTTGGTTTTGACCTTGCTGAGTTGTTGCTTTGTACCAATGAGAACTGCTTCTGTTTTTGTGTCATTAAGTTTGAGCATGTTTCCTGTCATCCAGCACTTGATGTCCTGCGTACATTCAGCGATGCACTGAAGAGACGTAGATAGATCTGACAGATGAAATGCTTTCAGGAGCTGGGTGTCATCAGCGTAGGCATGATGAGAAACTGTGTGGTCTGTAGTAATCCTTCCGACATATCCGGTATACAACACAAACAGGACTGGACCAAGGACTGATCCCTGTGGCACCCCACATGTGATTACTTTGTTCCAGGCCTACCTTGTCCCTGTCCCCGTGCTGTGCATGCCTTCCTGCCTCAGTCATGCTCACTAGTCCATGACAGCACGAGGCATGGCAGTCGTCACCCACGTGATCACCTCACATACTCATTCTCGATCTTTGAGCCATAAAAGGACAAAACCGAAACGGTGGTAATCTATGTAGTGGGGAGGTAGGGAGGGACTTTATCGCGTGAGATAGGATAAGTATATAAATATACAATTTATAGTTAAAATTTCCAAATTTTTAAACTTATCCTATCTCACGACTTGCACTTATCCCACGGTAGGAAGGTGGGTCATAGATTACCCGAAGTTCAAGCGATAACAGCTAAGCGTTATGCCCAAACAACCGTAGGAAGCAACTACAAGGTAGGCCAATAACTACCAAGTTACTACGCAAGGGTTAGTCGCGAACCCATTGACTTACTAAGCACAAGTGCTCCCAGGGACCGAGATTCCCGAGCAATGTGGTGTTCAGTCACTACCTTCACAAAGTGAAAGGACATAGCTTAGCGAGTGTAATCAGTCGCATCGCTACGATTTTCCAAGTTACCCCCGTAATAAAAGTCGAACGACTAGTATCGGGCCAGCCCCTGCTTCGAAACAACCCCCACAGAACCGTCACGAGGAGGGTGAAAGGGTAATTGAATCGGTAAAAACTCACAATTTTAACGTTCAGTACCACAACATCATCTTATGACTTCCACTACTAACCACAGTAAGATCACATAGATGTGTATAGGCACTTAGGGGCATGAACGCTATGAAGTGTAACACTTCGGGAAGGACTCACTTCACTGACTTAATTACTCCGTGGAGCAGAGGACAGTAAATGAGGTGGCGACTCTCTATAGTCTCAAACAAATGAGAGGAGAACTCTAAATCCTGGAAGAAACAAAGACGTAAACCAGAAAAAAGTTTTTCAGATTTATTCAGATTGTACACAAGCAGAAACGATCGCGACTTGGGATCAACTGCACAGTGGGATCCATATAGCATCGTAGCCCAAGGAAGTTCATTATCTGCGATGGTGTGCCGCTGATAACTGCTGGGCAAAGACGAGTGGTCCAAACTGATGAAGGCCTTGAATATCCGTCACCGACACATCTCTGAGGTAATGAGACGAAAATACCGTGTCAGATCGCCAAAAACAGCCCTCCATTATGGCGGATAACGAGCAGTTGCTATGCAACGCCATAGTAGAAGCCAATGCCCAGGTTTCATGAGGGTTGACTGCCGTAGGTGGTGGCAAACCGGCAAAAGTGTAGGCTCATAGTATTGTAGCTCGTAGCCAGTATGAGAGTGTTGTGCGAGAGACTTCCACCTTGGAAGCAGTAGACAAGGGTATAAACAGTCTCTTACGCAGACGGCGGCGCTCTTGCGATGCTTTAAGGTAAATGCGAAGTGCTCTGACTGGACAAA